CTCACTGTACATGTTTTGAAGGTGCCATTAAATACCTTTCTCTAACTCCACCGAGACATTTTACTCGAAATTGAACACGTTTTGATACACAATTTCAAATTTTGTGCAAACTGAAATATTTTCAGAAATGTAATGTGTATCGGATATTTAAACTGGGGCGATAAATCCGATTTTCAATACCTCTTTCTTCTTTTACTGACTCTTTCTATGTTCGAGGGGTTGCACAGTGTGTCGCGAAAATGGGAATTGAGAACAAAAATCATAGCTTCTAAACTAGTTAATTTTCGACCTAAGACCTCTGACACTTTTTTAAAGAGAATACAAAGATGCATCAAGTGATGCACAAAAATTATACATTTTTGTTAAAAAAAATTGAATCGACCTTGATTTTTTGTTACATAAAAATTGGTTTGCTAATTTCTACTATTGCAATTTCTTGTCAAGTGATTGCTGTGTAACTTTTGTTCGAAAAGTTTTTTGATTGGCTTAGAGGAAGTGCCTGAAATATCGTAGCGATCATTTCAAGTATGTATATGGGTGTTTGGGAAGAAAATCATAACTTTGTATCTGTCTAATGTTTTTCCTTTATTCCTTTCTAATTAAAATATAAAATAGATACAGATACAGTTTCTTATCTTGTAAATAAATAAAAGAACATTTTTATTAGATTAATTCCGATTCTGATTCGGAGCAGGTATCAGTAATTGCAATAATGATTTTGATCATTTTCTCTGTTTCGGACAAATTCGGTCAGCTAAAATTGGCGTTGAATTAAAGTTTAATGTGTTCTAAATTAATATGTAAAAAATCATCGAGGTATTTTTTGGCATTTTTTTTTAAACTCAATTCAAAGTTGATAAACATTTAACATACAAAATTGGGACCAATTATTAATATTGTAAAAAGATTGTTTAGCAGTTTGGAAGGTACTATAATAATGTACGCAACTTGCAAAAATCAAATTAAAAACACAAATTTTCGGTAAATAGCACATGTTTAAGAAAATGCACCAAAAATTGCAATACATTTCTGGCATAATTTTCCACAACAAATTGGTAAATTCAGTAAAAGTTATGGATAGTGTTAAAATCTACGTTCCTTTATTAACATTTTGGGATATAAGAATTTATAAAACATGGATTTTAGTTTTTTGATTTTTGTCCATTGCTGGGCACACTGTGCGTCGGCAAACTACAATCAAATTCGAAAAACGATTCTCCTCTTCCATAAGTGTTCCTGACCGGACCCGGACTAGTGACATTTATCGAGTTTTCACTGTGTATAAATAATTCGAAGTTGCATATATCGATGCACAATGGCAGAAATCTGGAACGCAGCTTTCGTTGGAATGATTTCTGATGATCGACGAAGGGGTTGTCGACACGATCGCCCTTCAGAGGGCTCGCATAATCCTATGAATACATAATCCGGATGCAAACAGCCGCCGCGCGTGGCTCGTTTTAGAACGGGCCCGTGATATTTCACGGATTACGAATATTTGCGCTTCGTGTCACGGTATCTCGATCGTCGTGTCGATCTCTCTACGCAGGAAGAAGTAATCAGTCCACTCCTCTTTTTATTCTCGCCTCGGGTCTCGTTATCGCTCGTGTCGACTCGGGGATAAAAAAAAAGAGGCAACTTGATGGATGAGTTCACGGGTGATTTAATCGATGAGTCTTGCGACTAGGGTAAAAAAACCATATTCAAATTTTTAGCATGTACTTAGAATTCGACTGGTTTCTTCATTAAATCAACAAAATATCAACTAAAATATTTGGAGTGCTATTTTTGTTGTTCCAGTTGTTGTAGTTATTAGGCATTAGAATGTTATCTTTCTGCATGAAAAGGAAGGGGAAGAGAAATAAATTTGCAGTGTGTTAAATTTCGAATAAATTTATTATTTGTTGTAATCGTCCGTAATTGGGACGTTCAGTTTGTTCCGTGGCTGATACTTAATCGCTAAAGTCGATTAGTCGAACGAGAAACGACGCATGGGAGCGAAGAATCGATGAATGTTAAGGCAGTCGAAAAGACAAGCTCGATATGTTACAAAACCGACCAAGTCTTCGTCGAAGAATCCCGTAAATTAGGCCCCCTGTCTATTCCCGCGTTCAACGATGTATCTTAAAAATATCCTTATAAACGTAAACTCGAACGAATCGACAATTAATCACCCATCACAATCGTCGCAACTTAAAAAATTTCCATTCGTGTTTCCGCAGGCAGGAGACATTTCTTCATTCCCTTTTTCAAACGTAAATATTCGAGTCAGGGAAACGCAACAAAATGGCGATATCGGTCCAATATTATTTACATTCAGTGCTTCGGCTCGCTAGGTAGTTAGAAAGTAAATATTAGTCAGATTACTAGCAACATAGACTCGTTAATCTGAATACTAGTAATTTATACATACAGAGTAACAATAACTTATTAATAATTTAGTCGTGTGGATTACTAGTAACTGTTATTAATCTGGTCATGTAGATTACTAGTAACTATTAGCCATCCAGCGATATAGATTATTAGTAATTATCAGTAATCTAGTTACACAGATTACTAATAATTACAAGTAATCCGATACTATAGGTTATTAGTAACTATCAGTAATCAAATTAGGCAAATCACTAATAATTGTTAATAATCCAGGTCATGCAGGTTACTAATAAATAATAATAATCTAACGAAACATATTACTACTAATTACTAGTAATACAGTTGTATAGGTTACTAGTAACTATTAGCCATCCAGTGATATAGATTATTAGTAATTATCAGTAATCTAGTTATACAGATTACTAATAATTACAAGTAATCCGATACTATAGGTTATTAGTAACTATCAGTAATCAAATTAGACAAATTACTAATAATTGTTAATAATCCAGGTCAAGCAGGTTACTAATAAATAATAATAATATAGCGAAACATATTACTACTACATAATTACTAGTAATATAGTCGTATAGGTTACTAGTAACTCTCAGTAATCTAGTCTTACTTCCAGTAGAGAAATGGCCCAGTTAACGAGTTAAACAAAACGTCGCTTAAACTAAAAATATTGTTAACAAACGTACGTGGGTTGAAGAATTCAACGCAACATTATTTAACATTCAGTGCCGTCTCCTGCATTCTCTCTAAACTTCGAAAAAACGTAACTAAATAATACATCGTTCATCATCGCGCGTTCTCCGCAGGCTTCCAACCCTTTGCACTGGTGCGATCGTAAATAGTACGAGGAATACAGTACGATTAATATAGAAAATATCGTTATTGTTATTTACATAACGTACAAAACTATAACGTTCTAGTTCAAACGATTAATAGTAAAAGTGATATATTTCACGATCGAGCGTTCGTTTTTCGTTACTCGATCGTTCTGTGTATCGACAACCGATCGTCGGTTTGCTCGATCGCACAGTGTCGTAATTATTATCGTTATTCTTATTAGTCGATAAAATTCTATTCTTTCATAACGATAGGCTAGACATTACGAAAAAAAAGAAGAAGAAAAGATAGGACAATGAACGAATTGCGTTTGTTCGGATTCGTTTGATTATCGTGACGTATAACTGTGTTAGCTTAAAAAATTCATCGTCTCGTCAACCGAGGAAAAAGAAAAATGTCCCTATACGATGAAACTGGCACGATCTGAACGACGAAGATTACGGAATTGTTTGTAATTGTTACGTTCGATTATCCCTAATTAATTCGTAAAGCTCTACGATATCGTTCGGTGTGTGTTACAATTAATTGAGCGTTAGGCAGCTCGTAGTATTCGTTCGATAGGAGTGCAAAGGCTTAAACAACGAAGGCGTATGTATGTACATTATGGTCGAACGAGTGACGGGGAACCGAACCGTTCCCTCGCGTGGTCGCGTTTCGACTCGTTTCAATATGTTTGTTAACGCGTTAGCTGCATCAGAACCGAACGATAACGCTTCTATCAGAAGACTGCTTCGAAAGAGGAACTCGAAACACACAGAATACCAACAGCAAATAAATGGGATCATCTCGAAAACCTATAGTTACAGAAATTGTTAGGTTAGGTCTCACCAGGGTCAGATATATTCTTCAACCGTCTTTTGCACAATTTGAAATTTGTTTAGTACCGTATTTATATAATAAGAATTAATGAGCTCAGTATCAAGCATCGTTGCATTTAATTAACTAATAACGAATAAAAATATCGAATAACTTGTTAGTCAGTACACGACGAATACATTTTTATTCGTTTGACCGTTTATTTTGATTCGAGCAACGTTGTTGGGTGAATAAACTTTCATTAGCGTAGTCATTCGTCATTGACGGACATTGCATATGACCAGTAATTATTATCACAATAAGCAATTTGAATAAAAAAATGATCGTCGAGTAACTATCTACGTAACTATTTACTCGAAATTATACAGGGTGTTCGGCCACCACTAGGAAAAATTTTAATGGGGGATTCTGGAGGCCAAAATAAGACGAAAATTAAGAATACCAATTTGTTGATGGAGGCTTTGTTAAAAAGTTATTAACGTTTAAAGTTCCGCCCGTACTGAATTTTTATCTCGAAAATGCGCAGGATTTCGAGGATACGTCTATTCACCAAAACTGATTGTAATTGACCCTCGCAACCGAAAATAATTTTTCCAGAACGATTTGAAATTTTTTTTTCTGTCGAAAAATTTAGACACCTAATTAGATTTTCGGTAAGGAATTTTTTTCTAGAATGTGGGTAGGGTCTCGAGGCTATGTGTAATGACCAAAAATGATTGTAATTGATCCCCACAACTGAAAATAATTTTTTTAGAACGATTTGAAAAATTTCAACATCTACCCGATTTTTTTGCTCGAAAGTGGATAGGATTTCAGAGGTATGTGTATTCACCAAAAATGATTGTAATTGATCCCCGAAACCGAAAATAATTTTTTTAGAACGACTTGAAATTTTTGAATTTAATTGTTAATAACTTTTTAACAAAGCCTCAGTCATGAAATTGATATCCTTGATTTTCGTCTTATTTTGGGCTCTAGAATCTCCCATTAAAATAAATGATACCCAACTCTGATGCCTATATCTATAGAACGAAAAAATTTTTAAAGTACGACTAATTACGAGTTGTAAAAGAATGGACAACAATTTCGCCAGCGTGTGTTCGTTCTTTGCAACTGACGCGTTACGGACGCATCCGAAAGCAGATGATCGGAAGGAATAATACGCACACTCACTCTCCCTCTCGCATTTTCTCTCCCTTACAAAAATATGTTGGACGGAACCGACGAGTCTCTCTCCTCGTGCTCTCTCACTCTTCTTTTATTCAGTTTGTCGTTTAATTAAAACAGGATTAATATTGCGTAATTGAGTTTTGAGCGATCCGGGTATCTCCTTTGTCGTTTTTGTTCCATCGAGAATTCTGCGGGATCGAAGAAGGACACAAATACCCGAAAACAGTCTAACTGCTTCAGAAATAACAAATTTAGGGTTTTCGTTGTCTTATTTCTGAAAAAAAAAGAAAACACTCGAAACGTTTAGATCAATTGCAGTCAACTCTATTTGTGATTCGGGGTCAGAGAGACCCAAAGAGGATTCTTGGAGCTACAAAAAAATATCCGTCATTCAGATGTAAAGGTATAATTTACTTGATCACATGGTATAAAAACAGATTGTTAATAAAATTTGAGAGTAAGGACGAAAGGTATCGCATAATTTTTCGAGGCGACACGGGCGCCACCTGGCGTCTCCAAGTTCCTTCTAACATCGAATCAATTGTTAAAAATAAATTCCAAATACCAATTATTACAACCTTCGCCAAGAATACAAAAATCGCTGAGAATTTGGCTTTCGGTGGCGGTGCTCGAATTTCATCGATCGGAATACTGATTCCACACTTGGAAAACACGATAAAATAGACTACTTTGCAAGTCGAACGTTCGAAATAGAATCATTCGCGACTAAATGCATTAAATGCATCCGCGACGATGGATTCGTATCCTTAACCTTAAACACAACGCTCCCGACGTTTGATAAAAATCACCGACGCTTGATTCGATAACGTTATTTCGATATAATAAATATTTTCACCCTCGATCGTTGCTTCTCTGATCCCATAAAATTGTCACTGGAACAGGGATGTCGAAAGGATCGCAGAGTATCGATACAACGTGAAAAACAAAAATCGGAAAATCTCTTTGTAAAAAACGCACCATACCGACGGAGTTCGCAAATTTTCATTATTGTACGTGATTCGTAAAAATATCTTTTGTGGGGAAATAGGGACACTGATCTCGCAATTGGCCCATCAACGGTTAATTTTAGCTTAAAAAAACTTCTCGTCGAAAATTGCTCTTTTTTAGGGTCGAACAATAACAACGTGTACAAGGCGGATTTAAATGCAGATTCTGCGTCTAAAATGAAAAAGTCCTGGTAAATGTAGGTTCTTGAACATTTTGCTTTTAAGGTGGCGTTATATCATTTGTATTGTTTCGTAGTGAGTAACACTTACGGTTGATTTTTAATTGTTCATTGTAAGTGAAATTTCATTAATTTTTATATCCCTGACTCGCTTGCTTTAGAATATTATCGTTGAAAGCGAGCGTACCTTGCGAATAGAATGTTTTTGGACCCACATTTATCAGAATTTTTTGCTTGACTCTGACAATACATACATTTCACGACACCCTTTTAGGCCTTGTGTTTATTTATTTATTCACGCAAGGTTGCTCTATCGCAGCTTCTCCATCGTTTTGTTTCGTCGGTACGATTGTTAAAATTTGTCGGGCACCCGTAGCCTGTTATCGGCTAAGAAATCCCTCGTGACGCGTTCACTCGGTGTGAACAGACGGAAAACGGAACGGAATGGGGAAAAGTTACGCCGGCGTTGCGTGAACGAACGAAAAAGAGACGAGAATGGGACGAGGGGACGAGGGAAGCGTGCCTCCGTGGAACGATCGATTCGTTCCGCTCTCAAACGTGAAAAATTCGAACCCATTCCACAAAGATCAACGAGAGACTTTCGAGTCCTTTCCTTCTCTCGATCGTCACAATTTTCTTCGCGTCACCAAAAATACTGATTACAAAATCGTGAAAAAATCCAAGCGAAAATTCAGGATCATGAGTAGAAATGTCAGGAAGGCTTCGGACCCTTCGCTGACCAAGAAGCAAACGTTAACGAAGAAACATTCTCGTCTCCCTTGTCGTTGGACAATTTCATTCCTCTCGAACCTCTATTCTGAAACATCGTCTCGTTTTCATTCATGCTGCTTAGGGGGTTTCAACACATACTCACGATCGGAATACCTTTCTTTGTTTTATTAGTGAACGGACGCAAATGGCTCTTGCAAAAATACACTTTGTTATTTCATCATCTCTTCTCGTTACTCTAAAAAACGTGTTACTACCTAACTCCTTAATTAAACTCGTTTGTCGGCGTTTAATCATTCGTCGCTAACGCGATCGATCATCCAGAGTTTTGCTCGGGCTCGTAAATGTCTCGAACTGGCAAGATGGCCGTTGAAACGCCGGGTTATATTACGTTCCTTGCGAATACAGAACACAAGAACAGTGTCGTCGATCTCGATCCTCCGTTAAACGAAACGAGGTGCATCGCGTTTTTACAAAATCTCCCACACGACAATGTACAACATTCCTGACGCACGTTTAAAGGCGAATCGTACTTGTCCATCTTTATCATTTTTGTTATTGTTTCATCTCAAGGTCACTTTCAATGGTTTCATATTCAAACCTATGGTTTTGGCGTTTCGACCCTCAAACGACCTTGACCTAGGTCGCTTCAAGATCAAGTTGTCATAACTCGTTGATTTCGAACCATGCAACGCGTGAAAAGAAAAGATAATCGGACAAGTTACGAGAATCGTTCTGTATGTATATAATATAGCGCAATATATTATATAATATAATACTTTACAATAATTCTTATCGCGATACACTCGACAGAAGAAGCCTATAAAATTCTGGCCCGTTGAACACGACCGACGAAACTGTTCTTCGCGACGGTCCGCGTCCCGTTTCCCTGAAATCTGGGGTGGTTATCCCATACGACATTGTCCGAATAGTTCGTAATCGTCTACTACGGTCCCGTTTCGTGGCGTTCACAAATTTAATACGTCGTGTCGCGGAGGCTCAACGTTTCCCGCTGTTCGCGTCTCTCCAAGTGCGTCGACGACTGGAAACGAGGAACCGGAAAGAGTCGATGGGAGAAGGAAGAACCAATTCCCGACGGGCTGTTCTGTCGAGCCATCGTTCTTCGGGACGCAACAACTCGAAGGCGCAGCTGTCCTCTCTGCAGTCCTGTACGACCGACGTCCATCGACTTCTCCCATGGTCTTTACCGATTCTTTGTCAGGTAACGACGAGTCTGGCGGCAGAGTTCGCGTGTTGGCTCAGCCGTGGTCACACTAGACTTCGCACCAGCACCGTAAGCTCGCGAAACGAGGCGCCCAACTTTCCTGGCGTCGACTGCTTCTTCATCAGGATGCCTCTGATCGTCGACAGTTTCTCGTAACAGGAGAGGCACTTGTGGTATCTGGTAATACAAAATGGAAAATACAGTGTTCCCGCGTTGCTCGGGACCCAACAGGCATATTTATCGAAAGTGGACAATGTTCTTGGCGTTTTGCTGCACGGCACGAACGTGCCATAGAGAGATAACTCGAAGACCAGGCACGCTGATTGGCCGTAGCGTGACAGCGACGCCTGCCTCACACGCATTGTCATTATTGGCTGAGACGATCACAACTACAATTCCACCCCGTGACGAAGTACGCGAACGGGACGTATCAAGACAGAGTAGGATAGAACCATATTGGACGACATTGGCGTAGCCATAAGCTCAGTGTATTAACCACGAATAGAACAAAAACGTATCTCTCGTGGATATGGAGATCCTACTACATACTATGTAGCGTGACATCAGAGCGGGGTTTTCTGGCGGGAATTAGGCGGCGCGAAGACCTACTCCCCTTGCCCAAGCACTGTTCAGTCAGTAATGTACCTAGCCTTCAAGACATCTCTCTATGACAGAAAGAGATAGAAAGCGAAAGACGAAGAGGGACCGGGGGCCAAGCTCAGTCTCCGCGTAGCGTAATACGATCCGGTGTCGAATATCGAACGCGACGTAATTTGGATAATATGTATTTACATTCTTACAATTCGACTTTGACTTGAACTTACCGTTCCTCTCGCGACACGTCCACGCCAATAGTGTGGAGAGGAGCTTCCACGTTCGACTTTATCACCGATGCGAAATTCCGCATGATCAGTCTCAACGCCGTGGCACCCACCGTTATGTACCTGAAACAACCATAAAGAACCATCGATTTAGTCCCTCTATCTTGTCAGAAGCGTGAAGTAAATAATTGGGCAACTATATTTTTAATTGCACCCAAGTATTTAATCGGAATTATATTTCTAAAGGTATGCAAGTATTGTTTTCATTAAAATGAGAAAAAAAAATAAACGAAATAAATTTTCCAATGAAAAAATGAGAAAGATAACATAAAGAAACCGATGAGAAGGCGCAGAGGGCGATCCGCGTCGCTCGTGCCGCCCACCGGTGCGCGTCACGCCTAGTTTGTTCCAAAACGTGTTATTAGCCCATAACGACGCCAATAAATAACGAAAGGCACGAAAGGCTTGGCGGCGCGATTAGACACGCTCGCTTTCGGATGGCGATAAAGGGTTTGCGCGAGCTCCCGTTAGAATCGGCGTGACGAATGACACGAGCCCGCCTTGTAAATGTTCCGCGTCACGTCCAAGCGCTCGTCTTTAAACGTCCCGTGAACATTCGATGCCGGGTATCGTCCATCGACGAACTTCTATCGTGTAAATGTAACGTTTTAACGTCGATGCTTCGTACGAAACGTAAAATAATGTTTTATTATGGTGTTATACAGTCAGTCACGAAAGTCTTCGTACACCCCCTAAAACGGTCGTTTTAAAGAAAATAATCAACAATTTCATATAATATTATGTTTATTTATTAATATGTACAATATTATTAATTAACCTATATAAAAATGTATTATTTTTTAAGAATATTTTATGCAATAAGAAAAAAAACGAAATATGTATGTCACAAAAGTGTTCGTACACTAAAATATGAAGTTAGAGTAAATCTAGCAAATCTAATAAATTTTTGTTACATTAATATTTTGTCGATCCTCCTTTTGCCTTTAAAACTGCTTTTAATCTTCTTGGCATAGAATGGACTAATTTAGTTGTAAAATCAGACGGAATTTTTGTCCATTCCTCTTCCAATGCAGTTTTAAAGCTTTATTTGTTATCTTATGCTTCCTAATTTTGCGTTCCAAATAATCCCATACGTGCTCTATAGCATTCAAATTTGGTGATTGAGATGGTGAAAAAAGTTGTTTCGGGACATTCTACAGTATCCATTCCTGAATAACACGAGCTGTATGCTTAGGATTTTGGTCTTGTTAGAAAATCCAGTTGTTTTCCAGTCCCAATTTTGCCGCATCATTTTTTAAATGGGCTTTAAGTATATCTAAATATACCCATCGATCCATAACAGAATCTATAAATACTAATCTCTCAACTCCCGACGTTACCATTGAGCCCTAAACCATAACGAATCCGCCATCATACTTTACAGTTGGATTTGGTTTTGCAAATCAAATGCCGTGTCGCTTTTTCTCCATATTTTGTTTCTTCCATCCGCTCCAAAAATATTATACTTACATTCGTCAGTGAATAATACTTTTTCCCAAATTTGTATATTCTCGTTTTCATGTTTTTCTGCGAATTCAATTCTCTTAAAACGGTTGATATCACTGACTAAGGGTTTCAACCGCGACACATGTCGCATATAAATAATTTGCAATACAGATCGAAACATTTTAGGACGACCGCTACGTGTTTTATTATTATATTTACCAGTTATTTTGAATTTTTTTATTATGTATTGGATAGTAGAATGTTTTCTATCCACAATGTTAGCAATTTCACGTAGAGATTTTTTCTCCTTATACAATTTAACAATTAATTCCCGCATTTCAACGCTTGTTTCTCTCCTAGAAGCACTCATTGTTGCTAAATGATTGTTAGACATCTTTCAACTGAATCACGACGTCATGAGAACGTAAACAAAACATTATCGTGGAAGCCCAGGTATTATGTTTCAAAAATTTACTAGATTTATTAAATTTACTACCTTCGTATTTTAGTGTACGAACAATTTTGTGACATACATATTTCGTTTTTTCCTCATTGTATAAAATATTCTTAAAAAAAAAACAATAAATTTTTATGTAATTTAATTAAATATCATACAGAATAATAAATGAATATAATATTATACGAAATTATTGCTTATTTTCTTTAAAATTACTATTTTAGGGGGTGTACGAAGATTTTCGTGACTGACTGTAAGTGGCTGCCGCCTTTAGATCGATGAATATTGACATTTCTTCAAACTATAACGTAACAAATAGAAATATTCAATAGTTAAATGAAGTGCCTACTTGTTAAAAAATTTACAATTGTTAACGTTCGTTTAACATAAGTGTTTTAAAGACAGTAGGTTCAAAATGTCCGTCACCAGTGACCACCATGGCAGTCAACATGTTAAATAAAAATTTGTTTGTTCCCTCTTATGGAATTTTGAGGGACGAACGTTCGATCATATATGTATTTGGGGGAGGGGGAAGGAGAGGGGGAAGGGGAGAGAGAGATCGATGAATCGAGAAACGATCGTACGGGGCGTAACGACCCCTCGAAAACGTGGCACGCGACGATCGAAATATATTCATCGGTTCGCTGGTAGTCCTTTTTTTTCTTCTCACGAGCCTCCACCTTCGACCAGGACGAAAGCCCGTGACGAATGAGCCGTGAAAACTGCAAGCAACTATATGCAAACTGCACTGCATTACGCCACCGAGATGTGTATATTTAGCTGGGCAATTTGATGGCAGGATTCACCCTTTCGGCGGCTGTCGAACCGTGACATCCAAGTACCGTAATCAGTGCGGAATCGTGACGAATATGGGCGCGGAATATTCGACGGCGAATCGCGAACTGATCGTGTCGAAGATAAAAGGATCTGAACGTTTGTCGTTGATCAGTTCTGTCAATTATACAGTGTTCGGGAAAAATTTTAATGGCGGATTCTAGAGGCCAAAATAAAACGAAAATAAGAATACCAATTTATTGTTGGAGGCTTTGTTAAAAAGTTATTAACGTTTAAAGTTCCGCCCGTAATGAATTTTTTTCTCGAAAATGCGCAAGATTTCGTGGGTATGTCTATTCACCAAAAATGATTGTAATTGACTCCCGCAACCGAAAATAATTTTTCCAGAACGATTTGAAATTTTTGAATTTAATTGTTAATAACTTTTTAACGAAGCCTCAATCAACAAATTGGTATTCTTGATTTTCGTTTTATTTTGTCCTTTCGATTCCTCCATTAAAATTTTTCCCAGGGGTGGCGAACACCCTGTATGGCGTGTCCCGCTTCGCTTGAAGAGACTTGTCGCGACAGGAGTTGCGTATAGTCTATTAGAAATATAAGATTTCCATTGTCCGTAGCCACCGATGTATTTCAATTTCAATCTGACCGATGATCGATCAAAATGTGCACACTTATCTTTGGAACTCTATTTTTAGCATTGTATTCGTGTTCTAATAATAGCAGTGATACGAGACGATAAAAAAAGGAATGGCGAACAGACGTTTAATCGTCGCAATAAGTATGTAGATGCGCAACGAACGGAACGGCAATTTAACGGACTAGTGGTCTCTGATCATAAACGGATGTGCTATTATTACATCGATCTATCGTTAAATTAATACGAAACCGTTTTAATTCAATCGAGCAACAGTCAAGAGATCTGATAAACACGATAGATTTTCCATACATCATTGACAGATTGTCATAAATCATTGGATTCTTCTTGACCTCGGCTATTATATTATTTAGTAATTTTTCCTTAATAATATGATTCACGTTAACAATTGTTCGGAATCTAGGTCGAAATAGGTATGCATAAAATCACGGTAGAAATAATGTTAAATTTGATCGATCTAACCAACATATAAGAATGAGACGAACTAGAATTTACATATACGCGTGTTCGTTATAACAGGAAGGAACGAATAACTAACCATTGCGTGAAAGGAAATGCTCGTTTCTCAGCTCGACAGCGCAACAGCAACAGCAACAGCTTGTAACTGAGCACCGATTAATTACACAGTTCCAACCATCGCTCACGAGTACTGTTCGTTTCGTTGTTACTTGGAATTTTAGATCGGCAAATGCTCGCACGATGCATCAAAATAATTATCTTGTAAAATATACTTCCATTAGTATCAGTGTGCAAACATATTTAGGTTAGATTTAACGCGATACGGTTACACCGCGTCTCCTTTGCCTGATTCATCTTCAAATATACAGGGTCTTTATCTTACGTACTCGTTAATGTACAAAAATGTGTCGAGAGAAATTTGTTCGAATGAAAGAGAAACCGTCAGGGTGAGGTTTATACATATACCACGATGTCCATTCGCGCGTATATTGTCGTTTAACGTTACCTTCCTTTCAATGTGAAACGCAACACGGTCCGTGAATTAGAGAAAATCGAGATACCCTTTTTGTTGAAGAAGGGGAGAGGGGGGACTAAGTTCTCGAATGGCGGGCACGAGTCCAAACAGGGTATCTCAAGTGGGGTTGCGTACTTGGCGTGGTTTACTACGCACCGGTATGGGAATGGCTAATTCGACGAACAGGGAAATATGAGGCGAAAAGACCGATGCGGAAAGAGGGTTCGCAAAATTAGCCGAGACAATGGAAGACAGTGCCAGATGCAAATTCGAGCTTCGAATCCTCGCTGTCGCGAGTCGCATTGTTCACGCGAACAAGCTCGAAGGGCCACGCGTTTCACGCATATGTTGACGCTCTTCGCAGACAGTTATGGACAAATCCTTCTTTATTTCCTTCTCGCTGTTGTTCGACACTCGATCATGAATATTAATGATCGTGTAAAGTTCTGCATTTTCTATTAAATTAATAACAATCAACGTTTCGCGTTAACCCTTTGACAGTTTAGATTCGGGCAGAGCATCGAGCGTCGAATTATTTAGTCTACCGACGATATCTAAGTTTATTACACAACTTTTGTTGAGCTTTTTAATGATGTCATTGACATTAAGAATACATACTACGAAATAACAAATATTTTATATTGAACTGTTGAATATTTCTATTTGTTACGTTATTATTTGAAAAAATGTCGAGGATCTGATTGAATCAATGTAGCAATATTTAATTTCGACATTGAAAAATAATTCCTTGAGATAGAAATTCTTTAGAAGTTTTGTACACAAACTGTTGAGTTGCTGCAGACATTCCTGCGGAATTTCTATAAAATTTAAATGAACTAACTGCCAATCAATGCTACGTTACTTTCTAGACATTTATGTCAGTTTTTCAATCCCCAGTTTAACGAAGGTGTTTAATTTTTAATGCAACAAATTAGAACCGTTGAAATATCTGACTAGCTGTAAAGACTAGAGCCAATGCTGAAGTATATCAGTAGGAATTATTGTAGCAACTCTGCGCTGGTAAAAGATAAGTCGTTTGTACTTACATTTCGTATTTACTTTGAAGGAGATCCCCTATTGGACCTAGTAGAGAGTTGCACAGATCCAGGTTCCACAGTGTTCTGAAAATAATCGAGAAATAACTCGAAATGGTGTAAAATAATTATTCGACAAAAATGTCGTTCGTAGCATACAAAATAAATTGATTAAAAATTTCAATACTAAAGAACAAAATGCTTGGAATTACATTCTTGTTGGATAATTGTTTATTAGTTTTACGAAATCTTATTACTCACGGTTTTAGGGTCAATATGCCCAACAAATCCACGATAACCGAAAGATCGTTCATCGCCACTGCGGATTCCACAGCAGCCTGAAATTTAATATTATCCTTAAATTTTACCTACATATTTGAATAGTGGGAGGAAGTAATAAATACCAATGGAAATTACATAACTGATTAAATAATCACTTGTTATCAAAACAATACAGTCGAATTTATTAAAAATAAATAATAAAATTCAGATTTGGTTCAAAATGAACCCCAAATCTTGCCGTTCGTTCGTTAAGGCGATTCACCGTCTGGGGGGTAATTCCTCACCGTTCTATCTGACGTCATGCTCGTTAATCATAATCAGCAATTATAATCATAAATCACTAGTCCGATCACATTTGCCAAACTCCGATATGGCGAAACAATGGTGTACCTTAAGATCCTTGTGGTGCAACCGAGAGTAAATGATTTGCAAGGAACGATGACGGTTCGTGAGTACAGCCATCATCGATTCGTGACCACGCATCATGCTATTAAGCACTTCGGCCTCTGACATTTCGTTGAAAACTCCCATTTGTGGATAGCCGAACGCGGTCGATCTCGCGAAATGATTCTGTCGGGAAAAATATTGATTTCAGTTGATTTTGGACAGGAAACTTATACGTAGTACAATGATTCGCGATGCTCACGGGTAGGAAAGTTTCGACGTCCAGGCCATAAGGTTTATCAGCACTGATGGGAACAAATTCCTCTTTCTCCGTGTTGTCAACGTTCGGCCTCAACTGGGGGGCTCGAACGTCTATCTTAGGATTCGGGGGCACTTGAGCTTTATTCGATTTCTTCGTCGCGAACGTCGTTGTGGTGGTGGAAGCGTTGCGCGCGGACAGCGACGTTGAGGTAGCAAAGTTCCTATTCAGCGAGGTCGACCTAGATTGCGCAGAATTCGGCCTATTTAACGCCGGATCGGAGGGGCTGTGCCTTATACTATTAATTCTGCAACAACGTTGAAATTCAATGATATCCACGATAGAAAGCTTATGTAATCTTGCGATACACCAAGTTCTCGACTTGAGTTTGATTCAAACAGAAACATTTAATATTTATTCCATCGGTTCATCAACTCGAGAACTCACTGTACTTGTATGAAACATCCTGCATACTTACTGTACCGGATAATCGCTTTCGTAACCCTGTTCTCCGTCTCTACAACTACTCTGTCTCTTTAAGTAATGCTTGGGAGAATCCGGGCTAGGTGCTCTATTCTTTAGTTTTCCATCGTCCATCACTGGAAGAACGGCAGCCATTGGTGCCACACGCGGTGTCAACGTGGAATTCGACCTCTGCGGGCCTAAGGGTTGTGGAAGTGTTCCTACGTCACTGGTAATACTTATCTTTTTCCCAGGAAGAGGAGTAATACTCTGTCTAAGGGGTGGTATAGAGGCGAGGTTCTTCGACGCTCTGCCAAGGCCATTGTTCGTTTGAAGATTTTTGGTCTGACTCGTCGATGTGACTGTGTTTCTTTGAACGGGCGGCGATGACTTGATTGGCTGAACGCGCACTGATACTGGCTTTGTTAATGATAACGTCGGCGCTGGTGGAGGTGGAGATGACGGTGATGATATAGGTGGAACTTCCTCTGGCTCCACCGTACTTAGATTTGACATTGAGGTAGAAAGAGTTTGTAATATCTGTGGTTGCGTAGGATCTGGAAAACGAACGCGAGCGGAATAATGTATGAACGAACACTGCGTAAATTACATGCAGAAGCAAACATGGACAATTTTTATTTAAACGGAAATGAAAGGTAACTATTTGAAACAATAAATGTTTTACATAATTATTATATATATTGACAAGTATCGTTTATACGATGAAATAACTGCGAAACAAGATACTACCTTATATAGTATTTCAAATAACGTAATGTCAAAAGTGGCCAGTTCTGTGCGGAAGTTTGTAAGTCGACATTCATGCAACGTTCGTATAAAAGGAGGAAAAAGATGGGAAGTTTGTTTGCATGGAACTCACCTACATCTTGAGGCTCCTGGAAAGCCTCAGGTTCTGGAGGTGGAGTGCGAGACACTGAAACATACCGTGCATAGCATGCTCATTCACAAACTGTACGGCGCAACATCCATCTTTCAGATGCATTTTTATTTTCAGGCTTGCGACGGTAGGATAGTCGAGAGTTAGAGTAAAATAAAGTTTAAGTAAGTTAGAATATACAACCGAATATTGCAAGAAAGAACCAGCAGTAAGATACGGATATACTTACATGACCTATTTGGTTGAAAGACGTCGTGATATTCGGTGACATTGGGTATATCTGCGTACGTTGCTTCGTCTTCTGGGTCAGTTCCAGACTTGTCTGCCTCTTCTATTGTCCGTACGTCTAGTCTATAAGTAGAATAAGTAGTAAATATTATTCTACAACCACATGCCACTCAATTATTTGAACACGAAACAACTATTTCAACTTACGTATGTTTTTTTAACTCGGGTGGCCTATCCCTGGAAAAACTTTTTCTTAACGAATTTCCGTGACTGAACGGAGAACCGGATGTCGACACCCCACCCAATGGAGCGATTTTTTGTAAATCGCATACATATAGGACAACGTTGGCAGTGTGGAAACTTGCACCAATCTGAAACGGTTATAGAAATAGGTTTTATACATACCCGAAATCTCGGGTACCAAAAAATACGGGTTGGGTGTGGTTCGAGTTTGTTTGTAGTACTTGAATACTTAGGCAAAAGTTTGTAATATTTGGGTACACGAGAGATTGTGATATTTGGGTGAACGAATGTGAATGTTTTCTTACACGCGTATCAATTGTTATCAGTAAATATTGTCTTACCAGCTGGTTCTGAGCAACAGCTATATCCTGTACCTTCACCCAGCCCGTTGGTACTGAATCTAACGTTCGACCTGGTTCCCAGCCGTACACTTTTAACACATCGTGGCAACCAGCAAAAAGACATTCCCCGCCTTGACTAAAATAGAGGCACCTAACCAGAAAATAAAACATTTTCTAGACATTTCGTCGAGGACGAAAGTGACGCCAGAATCCTGAACCAGTTTAATCGAGCCTACATTAATACGTACCGAATTGCAGACGAATGAGTCTGGTCTGTAGATGATACAAGTTGAAACGATTCCAAGTCCCAAAAGTGAACCGTTCTATCCGCGCTGCCACTTGCTAATAAGAATTCATGCGGATGAAATTCTACGGTTGTTGCCGGTCCTCTGTGTTCCGAGAATTCTCTAAGTTGTCTACCAGCTCTTAAATCCCACAACTAATTAAAAAATAAAATATTTGTAAACCATTATCGCTAACGCGTATTACGTAAAATTACGCGTATTACACTAATTGATACCTTGACCATTCCTTCTTCTCCCGCGCTGGCTATCCACTGGCCATCCGGACTAAATTTTAAACTATTCACCATCCTATTGTGCCCTTTGTAAGTGAAGATACAACCTTTCCTCCTAATATCCCACAGTTTGATCGCAGTGTCTAAGCTACCAGATGCCAACAGCTCCCCGTAAGGATGAAAATCCATGCAACGTATGCCTGCTTTGTGTCCTGTTAACGTGCGTGCCAATTTGGCATGCTCCAAATCCCAAATTTTCAATGCACCCGTCTGCGAACCAGCGCATACTAGATCTTCTGTTTGTCCAAATTTTACACATTCTATTGGTGTAGTGTGACCGCTCAAACTCTAAAAATAATATAACTAATTTTGGACCAGTAACAAATGGAATATGATCACAGATGTATAATTTACAATATAAATATAGCAATCTTATTAAATTGGTTTCAAGAGAACTATAAAGCAATACTCCTACTTTGGAATGTCCAGTCACTATAGTCACTACAATATGTACTACTGACTATACAAAAGTGTTCAATGGTTATGATTATGAACAAAATTAGGATAAATTAATATTTAATTTTTCCCATTTATGAGATACAAATCCTACATCTACATCAATTATGATTCAATGTTTAAACAAATGATTTTACGGAATAAACAAAAATACCATGATACAATTCTGCTTCCCAACTGCCCATAGATTCACTTTCTTGTCGTCGCCACCAGTGACCAAAACGCGTCCAGACTTGTGACCTAATGCCAAGCAATTGACGTTGGACGTATGGGCAACAAAATCCTCTGTACAGAAAAAAATATTCTTATGCACAGAATGACCTGAACAAAGATGTCAGCTTTCAATGACATTCGCGGCGACAGTGCATTTCCCATTCGTCGAAGGTTATGACCATAATAGGAAAACGCATCGAACAATTCGTCGGTGAATCCCGTCCGACTGATGTGTAAACATAAATTGTTTACCCGTAACGGGAGAAAAGAGCGCCAGAACGGTAATTCGTTGGACGCGTACATCGTGCACCGACGAATTGAACAAAGTGCACGTTTCACGCGAACAGGACAAACACTTACGGAGTTTCCATGACCTCTTCGTGGACGAAGCCATATTCCGGGAACACAGGACCGCGTTGTGCACGACTTATTGGCAACGACAACAATACGAGATTTCAGTTTGCAGATGCACAATTTTTTTTTGCTCGAGCTTGCGGGTAACATTTTTACTTCGTGTTATTATCTCCGAGCGGTGACGATCGTTCAACGGGGCGGCAGCATCTCGCCGCGGTCTGGTCCTGAATGCAATCCTTTTCCTTGAAATTTCTGTCTGTTTTCAGAAACCGTTCGTTCCACCTCTTCGTCGTATCTCATTTCTTGAATCTGCCTGTCCGTGGGTAGCGCGAACCAACGTGACGTTGAAAAATATCGAAGTTTCTGTTTCTATCGAGATTACGTTCCAATCGATCGCGCCAGATGTCACCAGCTCTTCGATCAATTGAAATCGACCGTAACAAATGTCGATAGTATGTTGATGTAAAGACGGGCGACCGTCGAGTATATAAACGCGCGATAAACCGTTATTGGGAAAGAATATTGCAAGTCGTTAATTATCTCATTGGGCTAAGCCGCATTGTTACGATATAAGCATTCTTATGATATAAGAAGAGTTTGCGTCATACGGTAAACAGTTAAAAGTGAGGTTATGAGTTTTGAACAAGCTATAAGTAGAACTGAAACGACTCTAATGTTTGAGTATTCGAGTATAATTATTCGAGTATCGTTATTTAAACATGTGAGTATTCAAATATTACTATTCGATCATTCGACCGTACGATAGTCAGTTAAAAGTGAGGTTATGATATTGAACGAACTACAAATACAGCTGGGGGCTTTTCAAATATTTGAGTATTCGAATGTCATTATTTAAACATTTGAATATTCAGTTATCATTATTCGAATATTGAATATATGAAGTTATTATTCATATATTTGCTCTATGTAAATAATGAAGATACCGATGATGTATTTAAATATCACATCTTGCCATCAGCTGATTCTAGTCACGCTGACTCACGCACACGCACTAAGGTTGTGGTGTGTGAAATCGATGATTTTTAGGAAATGATCAATAATCTATACATACAAATACTAACTATGAACAAAATTCACGTTAACATAAACAAATAGTCTAATACTCAAATATTTCAAAACAAAAAAGTTCGACAATTCCGATGGTAATTAAAATTTAATCTACCGAATAGTCATGAACTATTTGTCGTACAAAATAATTGTTCCGAAACAATTTGAAATTTTGCTCTTTTACAGAGGTCACTCGTAATATTTTAATTACATCGATTGAATCTATTCGGAGTTGTAAAATGTTTTTACGTTCGCGTGTACTCGCGATCGTAGCTAAAAGATCGATTTATTCCGAGATACTTAAAAGGCATTGCGCGAAGTATGTGCAGGGACAGTCGCCAGAACCTCGAATTCGAGAATACTTTTATTACATCGATCATCAAGGCATGGTATAATTTAATTCTTATTAGACACGAGATTGCAAACATACAGAAGTAGCATCAAAAATACGTGTATTATAATTTTTCTGCTTCGTGTGCTGTAGTTATTTCTGGATGATGCTCGCATGAAAAACTTTACGTCGTGCTTCAAAGGTTTGCATCGACATTGAAGAAATTTGTTAAATGTTATGATTTGTACGTTATACTAGATATCTGGTTTTAGATAAAAAATTTTTGGCATTCTTTTTCAAGCACTTGAAGAAAAATGTCACAGGACGATATATCCACGACTTTCCGTATGTTTCTCTTTGCGGTCTGGAGAGAAATTTTGTCAGATGCGATGATTTGCCGATAGTGTTCACGAAAGTAATTAGGAAAGAGAATAGCGAAACAGGCAAAGAGGAGGATTGGTTTGGTTATGCCCATGCAGAAGAAATGCTAATGGTATATCCGGTTTCAATAAGCTTCTAAACAATTTTGCAATCGGGTTGATTTTTAATAATAAATTAATTATAGGTGCCGTTTCAACCAGAAAGATTGTACATGAGTGTTCAGTCAGGAAGAGTATATCATCCTGCACCAGAAAAAGCAGGAGGAATCGGTCTAGTGAGATCAAAAATTGCAATTGAATTTAGTTCATTATTCAGTTTGAGAAAGGTGAAGAACATGGTCCGACTCATTTTCTGTGGAAAAATAAAAGATACACTCTTGATGCAGAATGGTGCAAGAATAAAATATTGCAGGTCACCAGCTAAAAAATAAATGAACTTCAACTTCAATTGAAATAAAAGATGAAATATATGTGGGATCGGAAATCCTCATACCCACAGAAAAGGAATCGTAACATAGGAATAGTAACGATACGGCGATGGCAAGGTTAGTAGAATGGTTTTGGCCAGTAATTTCTCGATTCCTATATATATATATATGTATGAACAACTTTCATAAAATGTACATATATTTTAGATAATAACAAAGACTTTATAATTTTCTCAAAGTAATAAACTACATTAAGGTAGAGATGAAATATCAAAGATTCTTGCTGTACCATCATCGGAAGTCGTCAATATACTTTTTCATCTCTGAAAAACATTTAATATTCCATCGCATTTCGTTCAAATTCTATCATAAAAATAAAATAATTCGTTACTTCAACTTACTCGGATATAAATAAATCATAAATGTCTGCTGTGTGTCCTGTGAATGATCGCAAACATTGACCACTTCTTGCATCGAAACACCTGAGAATACCATCCAGTCCTGCTGAAAACAGGATGTGTGTGTTTCCTTTCCACACCAATTTGGATGTACCGTGTGCTTGATCTATTTTACACCTAAGTACCTAAGTAATTTCAGAAGAAATCAGTATGCTGAATAAGGTTACAATCGATTAAGAAAAGTAGTATTACCTGTTTTGGGATATCCCAGATAAAGATTTCTCCATTAAACTGTACCAGTTGCGGCAACTTGGAACGCGGGATTTTTACAGAAGGCAACCGCTTCTACCCAGTTGTTATTCCTGTCATCATTATCAACATTTTCACCATCATTATTGACATTCGTAATATTACTTTGCTCGAAATTATACAGGTTTTGCAGAACAGAAATAATCTAAAAAGGTTAATATATTATTTCAATTCTTATAGTAAATACAAAGATACAAATTTACATTACCGTGCCAGTGTTTGCCATGCTAAGTATAGTCTTCCCATCTACGTCCGACGAAATGATTAGATTATTATTTGGGTGACAATCGATATCAGTTATGGTAGAAGAATGGCCTAGTGAAGAAGAACTTGATATTTCGGACAGCGTTTGCAAATCTATTACTTTAATCATTCCGTCTGCATAACCTAATGCAACACGTTACCTGAAAATTTGCATTCGATTAAAACACGAATTTTTGTAAAAAAAAAGCATAATTTTGAGTCAAAATAACGCATACATTGACATATTTTTAAATGGGTAATGTCTCAAAAGAATGTTTTGAACAAGAGTAGATCAGTTTTTGATTGGCTACAAATTGCAATAAAAAACATTTCGAAAGGAGTAATCTAGCATAAGAATAATTTAAAAACAAATACCATCTGGAAATATTGCTCCAACTTCAATTCCATATTTGTAACCATTGGTAAAATTGTGATATTCAGTAGGTACTTTGAACCTATATAATTCTCCATCAGTATTCCTACAAAATAAATTGCTTGAAGTAGGATGCCACTTTAACCACTGTAATAACAAATAATTTTTCAGTTACTGTCAATCAAAACAATGCAAAATGCAATTACAAAAATTAGAAAAAACCAACCGTCAGATCACCTATATTATAGCTGAGGATTGTTTCATTGTCAGGTACTGTACAAACATAAACAATACCACTCATATCGCCAATAGCTAAGTACATTTCATTTGGACTAAATTCACAGAAGACTATACTATCTGATAGTTTCCTAGCTTTAAAAATAATTTCTCCAGATGATGTATCCCAAACATAAGCTACATTTCCTACACCTCCAGTAACAGCCAATTTTTTACTTCTAGTCAGTGATCCGCAAAAGATGGAACCTACAGTTTTAAAGTAAAAGTAAAATCATTTACAATCTTAGTGATAGTGCAACATAGAGATTTTTTTTAACCTGGTTTGTGGCCGGTGAATACACAGATTGCATCTTCAGAGGCTCTTCGTCGCTTGAGACTTCATCTTCAAAGTTCTCGGACTCATTCGTATCTATCACTTCTTCCATGTCACCCGCGTATAACATATCATCATCTTCCGTTTGGTCAATCATGTCTGACGAAAGTGGTATATCTTTTTGAATCATCGATGCGAATCGAATGTATGGCAGGCCCACGTTTGGAAAGGTTATAAATATATTCGAATGAGCAGATGAAACGAAAAAAATATCGATAATAATCGTTTATCGTGTCCAACATAAAAAATGATTATCTACGTTCAAACGATTAGATTAAAACTTCTAATATATCGTTCTTGAACACTGAAAATTCAAATTTCAATTGACAACGTTTCGTTTCCATCACCATTATCACTCATGAACACAACACCAAGCTATTGGGACTCACCATACTGTTGCGACCTCCGCTGGTATGAATCTGTGTATTATGTGAAGTTAGCTCTAAGACATAGGGATATCAAGGTTTGATGTGAGAGCGAAATTCGAATTCCATTGTAACGGGGAGATTTATTGTAAGCATGCGAGTTCGTAGCGAACAGCACAGCTGGAAGGTTTTAAGCGACACCTAAACGCAGAGAGTTACGAGGGCCTGGGATTGTATTCAAACTTTCCATACTACAGTTGGGCCAGGCAAGGATAGTAAATAGCTTAACTTTTTCTTTCACATCTGCGTGCCAAATTTCGGCGAACGGGCAGGGGCTCGTCTTATAAAATCATTTTTAATTCTGTCCTCACTTCCAAAAATTATCGGTGTCCTGCAAGGGTAAAACTCAGGTCGAGAAAGGCCGGGAGTCATAAAGTCATAAACTTTGTTCGGGCGGCGTCTTCCTGACTCTAAGGGGCCCGCTTACCTACTTTCTAGATGTTTATGTAATGTATTGTTGCGTGACCACGCGAACGTAGCCCCAGAAATATGTATAATCG